AAAAAGAAAAAAAAAAAAAAATTTTGGGCTTTTTTTTTTTTTTTTTTTTTTTAAGGCTGCTTTAGTTCTACCTACGTTTTCAGCAGGGTACACTTTGGGAGGCATTAGAGCCTCTTGATTTGTTGCTGCTTTTCTAGTTTGGAGTCAGGAGGGAAGGGAGACCCTGAGCCATGCCCTTGCCTCTAAAGACTATAATTTGGAGGCAAATGTTTTAAAATAGTGTTTTTACAAGTTTAAACAACGCTTAAAACACTACCCTCAGACCAGCCAGATGGTGTGGTGCTTTAGGTAGCTGGATCCCAAATGGCTGACTGCACGGTTCGAGTCCCGGACCAGCAGCTTAAAAAACACCAGGCATGCCCAAAGTCCCGAGAGGAGAGTGGAGAAGCATCTGCAGTGTGATGATATCCCTTTGGGGGTACTTTTTCACTTAACCCCACTCTGTCTCTACTGAGTGCATGCACCATCTAGCAAATTAAAACAAACACCGCCCTAGACCTGGTGAGTCCTGTATCTGGTAAGATATGACAGGCTGGTACCAAATTCTGCATGTCTTAAGTGTTTCTGGAACCTTTGCAGTACTGCAAGTGCCTCGCCTTAGAGCAGCCTTTCCAGTTTTCACAAGAAGACATGCCCCGAGTGCGGAAGAGGATTTACAAGGAGCTGTGTGAATGCCGGCTCATGGACTGAAACTCAGCAGGGACTCTGGGAAGTCTGACCAAGTTGGAACAGATGGTTTGTTACTTGAATCTCCAGATGCTTATTTGAATTTTTACAGATATTTCAGATCAGTGGTGTTGGGCCACTGTTGTTACCTCAGATTTACTTTTTGCCCTTATTCATTTCTCCAGCTACCATGTACTATTTTTTAATGTTCAGTTTGGTTTCATTTTTAATTTTATGGGTTCCGCGCGTCCCTCCATATTTAATATTTATTATCCAAACGCATGCATATAGACAGAGCATGCAGTGAAGAGTATTAAAAAAAAGCCTTGTAGAACTGGTGCAGCTTTTGAAACTTAGTTAGCCGTGAACTGAAATACAGGTTTAAAATTTAATCCCAGAATTAAAAAATACAAGATGTTTTTGATACAGAATAACTGAGAGGAGTAGATGTTCCTTGGGGGCATGAAGAGTAGCTCGGAGGGGTTTTGACAAAGCCAGTCCTGCTTCGCTTTTCCCAGCAGCGCCTTCCTCTGACTGCCGCCACCAAGTGAGCCTTGGAGGAGGTGTCCTTGTGAGGTGTGAGGTGAGGGGCCTCTGGTGCATGCCTTGTTCGTGGAGGCACGCCGAGCACCATGCTTGCCCCTGCCTGGCGAGAGCTGATTACATGTGAGAAAAACAGTGACTGTGGGGGCCAGTGGGCTTAACGGAGATTCCAATTTTGATTTTAAGAATTATAATATGTGGCCTAAATCTCATAAAGGCTTTTGCTAGAACATTGAATTTCCTGGATTTTTTTTTGACCTATTAAAAAAATTTAACATCCATCAAGCTGGTGGTCAAACAGATGAGAATACAGTCTTTCTAGAAGTAATCTGGAAGTTGTCCATTCCCTTGTATTGCCTCCTATGTGGAAGAAATTAAGATTTACCAAGTACATTTCTATTTCAATCTATGAAATGTAAACATTTATAGTTGAAGACTGACTTAAGTCTTGCAGGTGAATGTAGAGCAGCAGGAAGGTAAAAAACGATTTGATTCCCTGGAAGTGCAGCAAAGGACGACTGATTTCTTTTACTCTTTAGTGAACTTAGCAACATGCAGGGCTCGTTGGACTCCTGCGTGACCAATCCTGACATTCCAGCACCGTTCTTTTCCCCTTCCATTGAACTTCCTGTGGGGAAGATGAAGCAGCTGCCCTTACACCTAGCTGCATTCGAATTAAAGTAGTGGATCTTACATCTTTTATCTTGCCTTTTGTGACATATTTCACAGGAAAGGAAAAATGCATGTTAAAGCTACTCAATTGTCTTTCCTGAACCAGGGGAGAAAACAATACATTTATAAGAAATTTAGAAGTTGCTACAGAAAATTACCAAGCAAATGGCAGAAGATACTTGAATTTACGCCTGGTTAGATGTGGGTGATTGATAAAGCTGCGGTGTTTAGTTTAACTTGGCTGTAGGTATGGCCCTGAGAAGGCTGACTGCCAGCCGTGGAGGCTGTCAGACTGTGTGCGCTGATGCTGCGCAGCAGCCTGGCTCTTTGCTCCCCGGAGTCTGTCAGACTTGAGCTCCTTGTTGTAAAACCAGGTCAGTATTTCTTACCATGCTTCAGGTTGTGAGAAGACTGAGAGTAGAGGCACTTTATGCTGCTGCAGATAGGATTGTGTCAACGTAGAAAAATGATAAAGTGGGGAAGATATCTTGAGGTTTTTAGACATAATTATGCAAACATGAGATTTTTAAAAATTTATATGCAAGACATTTACCTCTGACCCCCCCCCTTTTTTTTGGGGCTATACCAAAGTAGCCAGTAACTGGGCTATTGATTCCAGATGTTCTCTACTTATGAGTGGGGAACTACCTTACTTCCTCGACAGAGAACCAGGCACGCAGAAGAGACAGAAGGAACTGTGACCCTGCAAGAATCTTAATGCCCAGAGCTTGCTTGAGTTGTCATTTCCTCCAGTCTGAAAAATGGTCATTGTGTCAACAGAGGTGTGTAGGATTGAGCAAAGACCCGTAAGTGAGTTGTCCCAAGTCCAGTTACTCGTTCACTTCCAGCTAGTAGGGCACCCTGAGATGTGATGCCCAGCATGGTTTAGCCTAAATGTTGAATATTTTAGATGCTTTTAAATGTTTGTCATTTATGAAACTTGGTTTCAGTACACATAGTTGCTTTTATCTCTCATAAATTAGGTGTAAACCTCTACTTAGCTCAAAATCTAGATTAAAGTGTCTTTTGCCCTGATGTTTGCAGTAATTGCTTCCCTGCAACAAAGGCATTTTGGAAATATATTCTGGGCTGTTGGTGAGAGACAGACATTGCTTTACTGCCATTCAATTGTTTGGGTGCCCACAAGGTTGGTGGACCTTAGCTTCTAGGGTTAAGTGCAGGCCTTGTACAAACTAAAAGCTACTTATGCTGAGCCTCCCATGAGCTTCCCAGAGTCCTCTCCAGCAACAGACTTAACAGGCTGTAGCTGTTTCTTCCCAGTGGTCATTCTTTTTGTTGTATCTATAGCAATGAATGTAGATTTAATTCAACTTTTACTCCTTTTAGTTCTCTCAAGAATCACAGAGAACCAACTTTCAGTTAGCCTCTTAAGGGAACAGAAGCTGTCGCTGCCAATATTCCCCAAGTCTCATTTTGGCTCTGCATTGTATTTTCTACTGACCATTGAATGTAACACAATCGTACTAAATTTACAGTTGGAACAACACAGTAACAGACCTAACTGGATCACAGCCAGCATCAGCCTAAACGGAGCTGCCTTTTGCTCTGCAGTGTGTACCACTGCTTCCCTGGGCTAGAGGAAGTAACTAACTGGGGGCCTGGGGTGGGGGGGTCGCCTTCAGGTGAGAAACATTGTATTAATAGTGTGAATTAGGTATACCGATTACCCGCTCTGCTTAATTATGTGAAGAGACTGACTTAACCAGCAGTTATAAGCACATACTTACCTAAGCATGTGCTAGGCTTTGCCTCCTGGCCTGTAGATAATTAGGAAGACCTAAGGAAATACCATCAGAAGTGCTCGTTGTATTTGGGTGTTACAACAGCAGACCTAGACAAGCTGTTCACTTGAATGGTACCTGTTGGTCAGAAAAAACAATTTATTTAAAGATTATGCTCATGTAAAATTACAATACTCAACCCTTCTAGCAAAATATTTTTTTGAAAAATAAACTAAATGCCTTTATAAACTTGTGTCCTTTGTGTTAAATGACATGTATTCTTCGGTGGGTAGTTTTTCCCAGTGACGGTCCAGTCACAAGGCTTATTTACCAGAAGCGACAGTGTAGGCCCTAAGCACCCTGCTCTCAGACCAGCACCGTGGAAGCTCCCGCAGCGATGGATGTGTTGTTTTCATCCTCTCACTACAACTGTCACTAGCCACCTGTCACTGCTGGGCATTGAAAATGTGGCCAGCGGCTGAGAAATGGAAAGGCGAATTTTCTTTGTTAGGCAGCCACAGGTAGTAGTGGCCACCGTATGTGGGTATTAGAGCACTAAAGCAAGTCTGAAGTTTTACTCTAGTGAAGGGTGTGTAGCGACCAGCAAGTCTGTAGACCCCGGGTCGGCTAGATCTGACATTTATCCTAGTCTTACCATACATGTCTGAATTTTTACTATTTCTTATTAGAGAAATGGAAATGGGTCAAATGTTGCTTCTGAGAGAAGAAAGAAGGGTGCAATAAAAAGCTATATTTAGGACCCCCATGCCCAAGAAACACCAGGTCCTCTAAATTGAACCCTGATTTACTTTGCCCTCCAATCATCGAGTGTATGTTCTGGAAAACTACTCTTCCGTCAGTAGAGAAGGTTGCTTGGTGCGTTTTTTATCATTTTTCCATAGGAACATCCATGTTCTCTTCTTACGAAGTCATAGCCAGTTACAGCTGTCATGTGAGAATGTCAACATGCAGATTCTGCAACATTATCCAGATACCCCAATACATTCACAGACGGTGAAGAGGGAGGGAGTGCCAGAACATGTCCCTCTTTATAGGAAACAGGCAAGACAATGAGTTGGTCCAACTTTATTGAAACCTGTTACAGAATACAGTTCAGTAAGAGTCACAGTCCGTGGTTTTAAGGGCTATAAAAAACTTAAGTCACATTTTACTATAAAAGGATATGAAATAAATTAGTTCAAACTATACTGTAAAAAGAAATTTAAAAAGTGAACAGCATATCCTCATTAAATCTCTAATGCTGGGAACCAGCAGTTAGCGTAATGGCTATGTCGCTGGACTCCCACGTAGTCGACCGCGGTTCGTGTCCCGGACCCAGTGGCTTAAAACTCACGCCGGGCGTGTGTGCGTGCGTGCCCAAGATCCCGAGAGGAGAATGGAGAAGGGATTGCGGCGTGACCATCCCCCCTGGGGGGTGATTTCTCGCTTTCTGTCTCTATGTCTCTCTCTGTCTGTCTGGCGAGCGCATGCACCCTACAGTGAAAATCTCTCAAAAAAAAAAAATCTCTAATGCTTTCCTCCTAAGTACTTGTAACTAATCTCTCTTTAAATAACCAGTTTGAATATAATGAGAATACTCACATTTACTATAATATGAAAGATGTTCACACTGAGGTACTTGCGCTCTTTCACAAACTACTGGAAGTTAGAAGATACTCTGGGGGCCAGCAGGTGGCATAGTGGTTAAAGTGCTGGACTCCCACATGGCCAACTGGTCTGTGTCCCGGCAGTTTGAAACCCATGGCCAGTACACGTGTGCCTAAATTCCGGATTAGAGAATGGAGGAGAAGGAATTTTGGTGTGGCATTCCCCTGGGAGTAGAGGGTAGTTTCTTGCTTTCTGTCTCTCTCTGGAGAGCACATGCACCCTACAGCAAAAATTCTTAAAAACAAAAACAAACCAAAAAAACACCACTATTAGAGAAAGAAAATTCAGGTTTTTTTTTTTTTTCCCCTATCAAGAAAAGTATACTAGACCAACAGTTTATTTATGTTTCAAACCAAGTCCAGGAGTCTACTGAAGGCGAGGGAAGGAAAAAAACAGAGCTACATAGGTTGCAAAGACCAGCAGTTTTAAATGAGCAATACTCACAAAAGTCTCTGAATCACCCCTTGCCTTAGAAATGCAAAAATAAAATTCTCTAGATTCCCCTCTCTGGAATTATCAGCTCACTATAAAGGCTTAAACCTCAGTAAACACAATTTGGGGTGGCGGGGAGAAAGATTTCAGTATGAGAATGGGCTAAACCTGACATTTCCTGTAGGGAACGGCTCTGTTTTTGTTAAGTACTCTAAATGTTGGTGTGCTTTTTCAAAACCTAGTCCATTCCCCAAATCAGTGCCCTTCATTAAACCCTTCATCCTGCCAAAGCAATGTTTTATTTAACTCACGTCTCCTAACTTTTCATGCCATTTCCGACTGATGGTCTCTCTCCCGTGCATTTGCGGTTCTTCATAAAGCCAATCTATGTTTTTGTTTTTAAATTATTTTATGTAACTTTATTCATTTTATTTTTTAATTTAAATTTGACCAGAGAGGGACAGGATGCGCACGTGAGAGGGAAAGTGAGAAAGCAAGCTGCCAGGTCTGGGACTCAAACTGTGGTCAGTCGTGAGAGTCCAGCGCCCTTTAACCATCATGCCACTTGCCAACCTCCATATTTTTTTGTTTAACCTCAGATGCAACATTTACAACTTTTGGAGAATGCTTATTACCAAGTACTCCTCAAGTTTTGCACCTGATATCCTGATAGGTAAAGCGTGGAAGCAGGTGGTGTGCCCTGGGACTAAGGCGTACTCTTGCACCAACAAGATCCCTTGACCTCTATGTTTGCCTTGAAAGATTAAACATAGAAAATAAAATCAGTTGTTAAACACCTAACTTAAAGCAAAGCCAAACAACACATAAAATTCCTTTATTTATTTATAATGCCAGAGAGTACATGCATATACACATATGCAGAGACACACACAGAGCACCTCCCAAAGGCGACTGGTTATGCCACAATCCCCTGGTCCTCCAATCCATCAGGATCCTGGTCAGGGATGCTCAGGGTGTTTTAAATCACTGGGTTTAGGATTTAGACTTCAGTCAGCCCTGTGGTATCCAGCTCCGTCTTCACGGCACTTAACCACAGTGCTTTAAGGCCAGCCAGCCATATTAAACTTTATCTCATATAAACTTAAAAAAAAAAAAAAAAAAAATCCAGGCCCCAATACAGATTCTGAACCGAGTTAGACTCGAACATGATAAAACAAATTTTAAAAACTTGTCAGTCTTTCTAAAAGAAGTGTGGTATTTTTGGCTGACAGATTAATCACCACTGTAGACTGAATCTAATGCCAAAGAATACAGATTTTGATGTGGTAACAGAAAAGCATTCTAGTGTCCTAATACCAAGATACTAAGACTATAATTAAAGGCATTCTTTTGGATTCTGTCCTTTAATACTTTTTCAGAGGAAGAAAAACCACGAAGAGGTCTTCAGTAGAGACACTGATCAAAGGTTGGTAAAAGTAGGCTGCTTGCGGACCTCAGGTAATGTTTGTCAGCAAATTCAACAGACCACAGGAGTGAGGTTCTCCCTGCTGGGCTCCCCCACTCATTGGTTCTGTGCCAGTTTTCCATAGCCTCCTCTCCCCGCATCATAGTCCTGTCGGTACTCATCTCGTACCTTAATGGAAAGGAACACAAGTTACAGTAGAGAGAAGACTGGTGTGACATATGCCTCCCACAGACGTGTCAAACAGCTACATTTTTTTCAGATGTCATTGAATATTCAAATAGGACATATAATAACAACTCGGGAACAGCATATGGTATAGTGGTTACATGGCTGGACTCCTATGTAGTTGTGTGTTTAAGTGCTGGACCTGGTGGCTTAAAACTCATGCCAGGTGCGTGTGCCCAAAATCTGGAAAGGGGAATGGAGAAAGGATTGTGGTGTGGCCATCCCCCCTGGGGGGTGATTTCTCACTTTCTGTTTGTCTCTGTCTCTCTCTTTGGTGAGCGCACACACTCTATAGCAAAAACCTCTAAATAAATAAAAACTTAAAACTCATTTTGGTGTATTTTCCAGACATTTTTGCGAGAAGAAAACATCTAGTCCCTAACAAAAGTTCAATAATGGCTATTTGTAGGGAACCAGCAGTTAGCGTAATGGCTATGTCACTGGACTCCCACGTAGTCAGTCGACCGCGGTTCCTGTCCCAGACCCGGTGGCTTAAAACTCATGCCGGGCGCGTGTGCGTGCGTGCCCAAGATCCCAAGAGGAGAATGGAGGAGAAGGGATTGTGGTGTGGCCATCCCCCCTGG